AATAAAATTCCAATAGCACTGTAATTAATATGCATGTACCAGCAAAACAAATAGCTATGGTGTACAACATTTATGTGTAAATAACATTGAACACAACAGTCAGTCTTAATGACAGAGAAGTGTATGCAGAATTACTGACAATTATATCTTGTTAATTACCTATCAATTTATGTTTAAAAGTAATTAAAAAGCACAAACAAGGGGGTCCTGACCTGGTCAAGGTCTTTGTAAGGGGTTTTCCGGGTCGTCCCGATCGTGTGTTGACATTAACTTACCTAAGACAATGAAGCTTACTGTTGCTTTCTGAAGAACATTCATAAAAGATAAAATCTCCGGTCAACAACCCCCTCCTTTTACAATTCATTGTTTACATTTGGTGGTTTAATCAGTTCATTGAATGTAAAACTAAAACCTCGCATCAGCTGGGGTATATTAGGTAAATATTTTTGAAACGCTCGTGCGGACATGTCCATGAGTTCGGAGATATATTGTAAACAAGAGCCAAACAAAATGATGTTGTAAACACATTTATGTATATTCCGTGGCCAATGTCACAGACAGTATACAAACGTGAAAAGAATTTAATTAAGGTTTAAGGGGACGTTGTGGACCGTCATTTTTTTTAAGCTTAATGTTTTAACATATTTTTGCTCTACAGGTCAAAGATCAGAAAAGTTTATGTTCTGCTAAAGTGTGTTTGTCTGCTCAATTCTTTCACTCGTCCTGCAGTTTTGGGTTTCATTAATTAAGACTTGGTACATGCACAGGAAGGCAGTCTGTACATTTTTTTTTAATTCAAGAAGAGTTGTTGCAACGAGTACCAAAAACAGAAATTTCTTGAAATTCTTTCAGAACGCTACTCCTCCTACAGCGTTGGTCAAATTCCAATAAGATGACATACACAAGTAGGCTACGGTAAGATTAATTATTTTTATATCTGTTTTTTGATTATAAATAATTGTGGCCATGGTAATTACATATCCTCAGTTTCTTTACTTAATTTTTCACTCCGCAGCTCTATTAAGTATTGGGTCAAAAATGAGATCGAGCTACAGAATGAATATACAGACATCAGGGTGGGTGGGTGGGAAAATAACCGAATTGCCCACAGTTGTACTTTCTCTTTAAATCTGAAGTCTGTCCCTCCTAATCTGGCATGAAAAGAACCCCGCTGCTGCGCTCAATCACGTGACGTCACTGAGGATAATTACATATCCTCAGTTTCGTTACTTAATTTTTTCACTCCGCAGCTCTATTAAGTATTGGGTCAAAAATGGATCGATTCCAGATCTCCAACACCAGGTCCATACTGTTAAGACACGCACTTCTTCCCAATACTCGTAAAGAAAACTAAAAGTATTGTCCTTTATCATATTTATTAACAAATATCACAATAATATCCTAAGTTATATACATAAATATTATCAACAAAGTCCTTTATCATTCCATAAGTGGATTTTTAAAGTTCGAAAAATCACCAAATTGCTTAAAAATGTTTTCTACCTCATTGTCTGAAACTAACAAAGACAGTTTTTCTGCCGTGCAACAAGCATCATTTAGATGAGTTGCTCTCGAGTAATAATCAGCCATTTTTGCACCTGACCAACCTATGTGAGACATGACACTATCTTCCTGTACACTTTCCCCACCCATTGCCAACGTGACCGCACAACCGGCCCGTAAACTATGCGGTGTTTCACCCTCATCTATTCCCAAAGTTTGAAGATAAAATTTTAAACGCTCGTATATAGCAGAATATGTAACGGGTGTATCTAGAACTTTCCCACCCTCTGTCACTAGACGAAAAAGAAATTCTGTTGACAAGTTTAAACCTAATTTTGAGGACAATGCGAAATATTGTTCCAGAGCAGATATAGGACAAATTAAGGTATCTTTACATCTCTTAATGATAAACAAATTACTCTTTCCATCGCCACCCCTCAAAGTTTTACTATATGTATGACTGAAAACGTAGCCAGATTTATCTGGTAACTCTTTCACTTCCTGTACCAAAATATCGGATGCCCTATCACCCGCAAAGAACTGTAGCTTAAACATTGCTTGATCACGTATCAGAGTATATTGCTCTCTTAAAGAACAATGGTAATCCAAACATTTTAATTGATCTTCTATAAGCGAAGCTATAGACCTAACTTTTCCTATAAACATACCTGGTAGGTTTTATTTGCTTAGGCAAGATCCTTGCTTTTGCTTGTTCCTCTTTTACAGCTGTAACATATTCTTTAACCAAAGGAGAAAAAACAGGATTCCCAAGATTCAGAATATCATTCCAAGTGCCCCCTTTACCATATCTCCTGAAAATATGCCCTAACTGAGTAACCATAACTGCTAAAGTATTAGAAGACTGTACAGTCTTACAGCCGCAGATATCACATCGGTTCTGACCAATAAAATAGCAATCATTTTTGTGAAGTTTTGTTTTTCCAGAGCTGTCGCACCATACTAAGAATCTACAAACATCTTTTGGAGATGCCTCAATAACTGATGGGGAGTGTGGAAGTGCATGAAGAAATCCAATGAATTTCTGTTCCATGCTATTTCTCTTTCTAATGGACTGTTTTGATTGCTGTTGTTCATGAAGTGTTCTAAGTCTTTCGTCTATTGCACCCAGGTCAATATCCCTCTCCTCCTGAAACAAATCAGGAAAATGTTAAACGATGTGCATATAAATCCCACTTTAACCCCTCGCTATTTAGACTGTAACCTTTCTTTGACGGGAAACGCAACACATTTACAGAACCCTGTACACCGATACACACAGAGTGTTTTGCATATCTGTGAAGGAAAGCCTCCCAAATTGGGGTAGGCTGAAATTTTGGTGCTATGAAAGTACAAACCCTAACTCTCTGTTCTTTCAGAAACTTTAATATGGGAAAAATAAGGGCAAAGGGGGGAAAGACATAGGGATTCTCCTCAGAATAAATATCCTGAGCAAACACATTCACTCCCGCACTCCTTGGAGATGGGTGTCGAGTGAAATGTCTTAATGGTTGACCTAGTGCATCTAGCATAGCATTTGAGTCGCAAGCCATCAAGTCTACTGTATGAGGACCATACAAATACTCAACTTTTCCCCATGTATCCCGACTTAACATTGTATCCTGAACATCTACCAAGCGGGATGGTTCATCTGCCAAATTTTCTTTCGATGGAACATATTCCAGATTTAGTTCAATGTTATGTTCAAACACATACTGAAATATCTGTTTCATTATACCATTAAGATCTCTATTCCTACTACCTTGGTTTCGCCAAGAGTATAATACAGCTTTATTATCAGTTAAAATATCTAACCGATGATTTTTAATTTCCAATCCCAATGACCAAACAGCCCTAAGTAATGCCTCAGCTTCCTTTAAATGTATGGGCCTGTTGTCCCCTTCCTCCCAAAAGTCGCCAAAAGCAACACCTTTTAGATTTCCCGACAAAACTGTAACCCCATAACGAAAAGATGAGGCATCTGTTGCTAAATAAAGCTGATCATGCTTCTCTGAACGCCACCTAACACAACCTTCCCAATTATCCAAAAATCTCCAATGTTCAAGCTCCTCCCTAAGAAATTCATCTATCTGAATAGCCTTACTATTTTTTTTGACATTTTGAGATTGCATGATTGACTTCCCTTGTGTACAACTTTGCAGCTGGAATTGCAAGATTCATGGAAATACATTTTCCAGCGAAACGCTGCAAAGTAGTCAAATCTACTGTATCTGCATCTAGAATTTTTTCACGCAAACTGATAAATGAAGTTAGTTTTTGCTCTGGTAAGACATATGCCTGCTTTTCTGAATCAATCACAAACCCCAAGTATTTCACCTTTGTTGATGGAAGCACTTGACACTTATCCAAAGCTAGAGTATATCCTAACCTAGAAAGAGTCTCCAAAACAATTACCACTGTTTGAATGACTTGATCACTTTTCCCATCCCTAGGACATACAAAAAATCTATCATCAATGTACTGTAGTGTTGCAATTCTCAGACTTCTAAAATAATTAGTTACTTGCATCCCTATTGTTTGATAAATGAAAGGTGAGGCCTTCCACCCAAAAGGCAAAGTAGTATGAACAAATACCCAACCAGCAAATTGAACACCAAAATATGTTCGTGAATTACAATGCAACCTAACATGATCATACCCAGATTTCTCATCACAACAAAACATTTCATCTTTACTCTGGATGAGACGGTGAGCGTGTTTCAGTGTTTCCAGTTGAAATGGATTATCTTTAATCCAAAGGTTCAAATATCGCTCATCATGACATAAGCGAGGTTTTGAGGGTTCAATAGTTAATGGCATCACAATGTGAGGCAATTCACATTGACCCAATTTCCCTATCACACGCAAGGAACCATTTTTTATCTTCTCTAATAATTGGGATTTTATGAATGGAACAAAGTTTTTACAATGACTTGAATTTTGAAAATACTGTTTTGGAGGTTTTTCAGAATTAAATGATTGTCCTTTAAAATGTCCTTTAAAGGTGCGGAAAAAAAGATGTATATCTACTCCATCTTTTAACAAATTGGACACTAAAGTTGATTGATCTGTTGTACAGTTCTTTAAGAGATTATCCCAGTGGGTAGCAGACTCATGAAGTTGTCCTGACACAAAGTGTACTGGATCTCTTAGTTGTATTTCTGCCAATTCTCTATGAGCTGCCAAGGAGGGATTTCTTTCCCCTAGTTTTACCCATGTAGGTTTTACCCGAATGTCATCCAATTCCTGATCTAGACAAAATTGTATATCTCGTTCCCAATTTGGAAGAACTGGACTACACGTGACAGTTACCTACAAAACAAATTCCATGTAGATACATTAAACCTACATGAGGTACTCTAGGGTAAAAGAAAACCCCACTTTAGCAGCTCATGTGAACGAAGTCCACAAAAGAATTAGTCTCTCTGAGCTGATAAAGGAAGTCTCTTACTACTGATTTCTTTTATTAAAATAAAACATTTAACTGATTACAAGTCTCGTAAGCTTACTATTGATGTCTTTTATTAAAATGAAACCATTGCACTAATTATCTAATAAAATATGACAGTACACAAATGTTCTTTAAAAACCAGACAACTCTTCTACATGTGATATTGCATTTATCACTAACAAAGTATAAAATAAAGTAATTGTTCAGTCTGGAGAAATATTTCACAATTGGTGCATTTAAACTACTTGTTTTGCTTCATCGCCTTAAACTTTATGCAATCCTTGATGAGATGGCCCATAGACTCGCAATAAAGGCATGGTCCTATCGGTTTTGACACACTCTGGTTGAGTCGCCCCCTGTGCCTTGGCCTATAACCCTGATAACTAGGATTAAACATGTATCCATAATTATATCCCTGGGGTTGGTAGGGCATCATTAATGGCATGGGTGGGAATGAAGAGTACAAATTGTGAAGAGGAGAGGAAGACGATTTCTTCGCTTTATCTGATTCCTTAGTCTCCTCTTGTTCTTTTTTTGATTTTATCAACGCTTTCCCCACTACATCTGATGCTTTACCCCCCATCACGCTTAAAACTAAAGTAACTAGATTGATTTTCCCCTGATTTCTCGAGGCCTGTCTGTACAGTTCTTCATATATATCAGCATCGTCAATCTTAGCCGATCTGGACGTTTTGGCCAATTCATCCAGTGCTAACAGGATGAGTGCTTCGCTTGGATCGTTTTGGTTTGCCAAAAGCCTCACCTTTTCTTTTATCGCATCAACTTCTTTCTAGGTTGTCTGGGTGGTAGTTGCACTTGCTGTCGGTGAGACTTTTGCTTTCTTAGTCTGAGGCACCTCATCCTCACGGTCTTCGTTGACAGTATCTTCCGTTTCCTAATAAGTAAATCAAAATATCAATCGATTGTTCCATATCGGCCCTGTATTGTGGGCTAATAGTCACACAAATAAGTAAACCTTAATTTAGTTTCTACTTTCTATTTTCTAAAATAACTTCCGGTTGTATCTAATATCAAAACCAACAACAAGAATTCGTTTCCGGAATGCTGATAACAAGTATCGCAGGACAGCTAGTCGGCTGCCACGTGCACGCAGCAATGACCATCTTATCTCTACAAGCACTTACCAAACGTTGCAAGGTCTGGGCGGCCGGCTGGCCGACCTCATTAGCCTGAATAATTGCATAATGCAATAAGTGTCTAAGATTAGCCTCTGTCGCCTCCTTCTGTGCCATCTCCAAAATTTCTTTCTCGTCCTCCCCTGTGAGTTCCCTAAATGCCGAGATTAGTTCCCCGCGGGGCATATCTTCCATGCATATATTACTTTTCATTCTTGCAAATGATGTTACCCTTCCTGTTGTTTTCATTTTCCTTACGATGGGAATGATATTTTTCCCTTTTAGGCTATGTCGCCGTTTTAAAACAACGGGTGGCATCTGAAATAATATATTACCAGAATTAAGCACTTTATGATAATAAAATTGTCTCAATCAATTACTATACCTTGTTATAATTATAAATAATAAAGATCGTTTGATAAAATTCTTCGAATAAATACACTTAACAAACTGATTAAGAAGCCATTATTACAAGTTGTAAACATTACGCCCAACAATTTTCTTGACCGAGATAATAGCACACGTGTGCTGACGCACTGAAACCTGACACCTCAAAGGAATGGTCAGCAGATCGCATTATCTACTTGCTTTGGCCACTGAATCCTGTTTGAATTAATTAATCTTTACAGTTTTTAGCTCTACTGGTCAGAGACCAGAAGAGCTTATGCGATAGTAATGTGTCCGTCGTCCGTCCGTCTGTCTGTCTGTCCGTCTGTAAACAATTTTTCAAAATGCTACTCCTCCTACAGTTTTGGTCTGATTTCAATATAACTTGGCACACAAGTAGACTACACTAAGATACATAATTCTGTGTATCGGTTTTTGATTTCGATGAACGGTGTTGCCATGGTTACTAAAAATAGAAATTTCTGTGAAAAACATTCAAAATGCTACTCCTCCTACAGTTTTGATCTGATTTCAGTATAACTTGGCACACAAGTAGACTATACTAAGATGCATAATTCTGTGTATCGGTTTTTGATTTCGATGAACGGTGTTGCCATGGTTACTAAAAATAGAAATTTCTGTGAAAAACATTCAAAATGCTACTTCTCCTACAGTTTTGGTCTGATTTCAATATAACTTGGCACACAAGTAGACTACACTAAGATACATAATTCTGTGTATCGGTTTTTGATTTCGATGAACGGTGTTGCCATGGTTACTAAAAATAGAAATTTCTGTGAAAAACATTCAAAATGCTACTCCTCTTACAGTTTTGATCTGATTTCAATATAACTTGGCACACAAGTAGACTACATGTATACTAAGATGCATAATTCTGTGTATCGGTTTTTGATTTCGATGAACGGTGTTGTCATGGTTACTAAAAATAGAAATTTCTGTGAAATACTTTCAAAATGCTACTCCTCTTACAGTTTTGATCTGATTTCAATATAACTTGGCACACAAGTAGACTATAATAAGATACATAATTCTGTTTATCGGTTTTTGATTTCGATGAACGATGTTGCCATGGTTACTAAAAATAGAAATTTCCTTGAAATACCTTCAAAATGCTACCCCTACAGTTTTGGTATGATTTTAGTATTACTTAGCATACAAGTAAACTACACTAAGATACATAATTCTCTGTACCAGTTTCGGATTTTGATGAATGGTGTTGCCATGGTTACTAAAAATAGACATTTTCTTGAAATAATTTCAAAACGCTACTCCTCCTACACTTTTTGTCTGATTTCAGAATAATGTGGCATACAAGTAGACTACAGAGATACATAATTGGTGTTATTGTTTTTTGATTTTGTTGAATGATGTTTCCATGGTTACTTAAATCAAAATTTCAGTAAAATTGTTTTAAAAGGCTACTCCTCCTACAGTTTTAGTCTGATATAATAATAAATCTTGCCAAAAAGAGACTAAACCAAGGATCATTATTCTATTTATTGCTGTTGCAAAGTTTCAAGTCCAAGTGCTACTTTTATCTTCCTTTATAAATACAACCAGTAGAGCTACAGTCTCATCAGAGACTTCTGTTTTGTTTTTTTTTTCGTTGGCCTCATGACCGCATCATGTGCACTCCAAACATGCAAAAAACATTGCACATCAATACTACTAATAAAAATTTTATTCCAAAGCCACCAAAACTCGTAAAGCCAATCAAACAATGGCCGACCCGGCCCCAATGCCACCAAGGCTTAATTTCATAACTTTAAAAAATGTTCCCTGAGCCACCAAGGCTTCACAATAGCCACCAAGGCTTGGAACCACCAAGGTTCCCCATTATTTAATATATATATATATATATATATATATATATATATATATATATATATATATATATATATATATATATATATATATATATATATATATACCTCTCCTTCACGTCTTCGTTTCTAATCTCGGTAAAAGCGCGTCTTCTCCGGCCAAAATCTGGCATGAAAAGAACCCCGCTGCTGCGCTCAATCACGTGACGTCACTGAGGATAACGAAAAATAGAAAATTCTTGAAATTCCTTCAAAGTGTTACTCCTCCTACAGTTTAGGTTTGATTTCAATAAGACGTTATACACAATTATGCTACAGAAGATACTTTTTTTTTACATTGGCTTTGGAATTCATGTGTTGCCATGGTTACTCAAAATAGATTTTTCTAAAAAAAAAAAAATTAAACCCTCTCCTTTCTACAATTTTCATAAGATGCATAAATTTTTAATTTTATATCCTTGTTTTGAATGGAAATGCCATGGTTTCCTGCTGTACAAATTTCTGTGAAAATGAATCTTTTCGAACAGTTTTTGAATATTTTAATTTCAGTTTTCAATTTAGTACGCAAGAAGACAATTTTGGCCCGATTTCAATAGAACTCGGTAGATATTAGACTACACTAAGTTACATAATTCTGTTCACTGGGTTTTGATTTCGATTACCGGTGTTTCAATGTTTACTAAAACTAGGATATTGTTGAGATTCTTTTTAAAATCTACTCCTCCTACTGCTTATTCTAAAAAATTGTACACTAAGTTGCTAACTAAACTAAGGATCACAATTCGACTTTCTGATGTTGCATAGCTTCTCAATTTCAAGTCCAGATACTGTTTTTCTCTTCTCTTACTGTAATCGAATAGAGCTACAGTCTCGTCAAAGACTTCTGATTTTAAAAATTTTGTCATCCAACATTGGTATACAACAAATTTTTTATTGATCAATATTCAAATACAAAATATAGCATACGCACAATTTTATTCTTAAATTTTAGAACAAAATATCCTTGATTTAAGATGGAAACCAATTGTGCTAATTATTCAAAAGCAAGTACACACTGAGTCATCTACATGTATATATAAATATATTTTGATAAAAACAGATTACACATGATAAAGTTTATGTTAGATTCAGTACTTCTAACGATTTGTGGTTTTAAGCATACAAAGCGGTTTTAAATTTAATCCTTATTTCTTATTTTCATATTTCTATAAAGTACAGTTATATGAAAAATGCATTCAGAAGTAGTACATACAGTACTATAGTACATATAAGTATCGAGAAACTATATAGCAAGTTTCAAGTTCTAATAATTATCTTTGTGATAATATAATATCAATATTGATGCACATCATATCAAAATGGATAATTTTTGAAATACATACATATAATTAACAAAACTTTTTTTTCTTTCATCTTCAGTTCTAGTTTACGGACGTTAATTACAACAAACACTTTCCTCGTTCTAATTATATGTTTTCTAAAATTTTGATTTGATAGCATTGAAGTCTCATGATTTGAGAAAATAGTCATGTGGACCAAAAATGGACAAAGAGCATGCAATACACACACACACACACACACACACACACACACACACACACACAAAAAAAAAAAAAAAAAAAAAAAACCACGCTCATTATTTTTGATGAAAGCAAAAGTTCTTTTAATTAAAAGAAATTTCGATCTTCTTTGTCAGTAATGACGAGAAACTATGACATAATATTGTTATTTTATTAATTATTTGTTCAGTACCTCTGCTCTTTTCTGATAAACTCTGTCTCTCTCTGCCCCAACATCTTTAAATCAATACTTATATCACTGCCCGTCTTGAACAACCAGCTTCTGGTATATACATTCTTTGCACAAAAAAGGACATAGGTAACTGAAATTTATAAAGATTTTGTCTAAAGGGTAATTCTTCCATGGAAAAGTATTGACCTCAGTCCACATAGTTTATTACCATTATGTTTTAAAAGATAAACCTTTTAAAAATTCACGAGTGAAAAAAGTCGTGAAAAAATATCAACAAAAATGAATACATTACGATAATGTTATGAATTAAAGAAAGGTTCCAAACACATTTTTTAATTGAATTTTGAAACACTTGTCTTTTGGAACTTCGAAATAGAGGTATTCTACTTTAGTTGACAATGTCATTAAAATATTCATAAACCATTTGCATAATCTAATTTCAAAAAGGTCACCATTATTGATAGATGCTTTAAGAATAGTTTTAAACTAAGAATGGCCACTTAATGTTTTGTAAATCTCACTGTTTGGCATTACTATTTGTCTGTTTGTTTATTGTTTAACGTCCCTCTCGAGAATTTTTCACTCATATGACGCCACCACTTGCCGGCGGAGAGCTGCAATTTTGAACTATACTCGGCACTTAGGGCCATTGAGCAGTGAGGGATATTTTTCGTGCCAGCACCTATTGCGACACGGGACCTCAGTTTCTACGGTCTCATCCGAAGGACCGGTCTCCACGTCCCACAGTGGGATTCGAACCCGCGACACAAGGATCAACTCCTTACTCCGCGACTCTAGAGCGAACGCTCTAACCACTGCGCCACGCGGGCGACCTCATCGCATTACTAATGACCTGAGAAGGCATAATGAATTATAAATAATAGTGCAAAGATAACATCAAATTTACCATTTTTTTAAATTTAATTTTAATTTCCTGTTAGCCATAAATTTTGATTTCAGAATACAAAACATCCATGATGCAATCACCATAAGTAATGATCTATACATGTCCTATTATGTGTATGTAGAATATTTCATCATCTTGAGAGCCAGTTCATCCATAGAGAAATGTTTTATGTCCATCAGCAGCTGATGTACATAAAACATTTGTCTCTGGATGATTTTGTCAGGTCATCTCTCTCTTGTGCCAGCTCCGCATTCCTGGTGTAATAGGTACACGGCTAATCATTAGTGCACATGCGCAGGAACATTGACGACTTTTGACAATGTTATGCCAAAGAGCATAAATCTTAGCGTTTGCAGACGATTTTCTTAATAATTGAAGCATGATTTTAAAGATTTTAAAGGGCTCATAATAGAATGAATGTATATATACCGTATTGTTTCCATTTAGTTTCCGATGACGGAAAACTCCTTTTTTTCACCCAGTGGAATTAAAATAGAATTTCAAAAGAATTTTAGGTTTTAGATTGGATACAAAGCACATTTTTATGTTTGGCATCCCTAAAGTTCGGATCGGTTGATCGAATACGCAACCTGCCTGGCCCCTCCCCCTCGTGAGCGCTGTTTATACTGATTCTTGGAAATCAATTCTAACTTAATTGTGTTTTCCATACAAGTAGATGTCCTCTTCATATCCAATCCATTAATCTTGGGATAGCATATCGAATGAAGTCGGTGGTGCACCTTTAGATCATGGGCATAAACCTTATCAAAGTATGAATAAATTCTAACCAAGTGTTCCAAAGTTAAGGCTTTGACAGACAAGCAACCATGCAAAAATCATCTTACCTCCCCTACAAGAAGTAGACTTAATTAATTATTAAACATTAATTATCATATCTTTCATTAAAACATTGCATCAGAGGTAAAGTGAACCCTCACCTACCCAGTCCTTTAAATCTTCTTCAAAACGATTTATGAAAAAAGGTTTGAAACTGGAAAGGGCAAGATAGGATAATACCCGTTTTTGGGCCCTGGTTTTGGATGTCTGTAAGAATGATGCAATAGTTCATCATTAAAAACCTATTGTCATCCCTGTTTCAAATGAATATTGATTCTAGGTTACTGGATACATAAAGTTCACAGGAAGGTCACAAGATATGTAATATGTCAATTTTAGAATTTTGTCATTTTTATCAAATTTTCCTTAATTTTTAAACACATTTTAAAACACAGAGCACAAGCTTGCTATCTATCAAATTTATATATGTCATTTGGTAAAATCAGATGCATATTGTGTATAATAACCCCAGATAAGCAAACTTGTGCTCTATGTTTCCTGAAGTGAAAAGCATCTCAAATTTGACAATATTCCACCAGATGGAGGGAATTCAGTTTACTAAAATATCCTACTTCGGCACCCTCTTGGGCCCTCCATACAATGTATATAGTTTGAATCAAAAGTCAGTGCTATTTTTAAAACAAACATTATATAAAGTATCACAATTTCAAACTTTTTTGATTTTCATATCAAATAAAGACTCAGAGCCCAATTCAACCTTTACCATACCCTGTCCTTTCATATCTTGCTTTGGTAGTTTAAAACTTTCAGAAAACCTTTGTAATACTTGATAGCAAAATATTTAGTTACATAATGATCCCAAACTAGATGCACTAAGAGTACTAGTACTAATTAAGCATCAATAGGGTCACGACTAAACGTGTTTGTAAACAGCGAATGGCTAGTAAATGGTGCAAAATTAATGACTTCGGGAGATAACAAGTGTCCGGCGGTTTGTCTCTGACGTCACAAACAGTTCAGGTATGCGACAAAATGCATTAATGTCCAATAAAATGGCCGAAACAAACCAGTATCGGTGAAAATATGTCTGCTGGTGATTGATCTAGTTAACAACAATTTAATGAATGTAAACAAAAGAGCAAGTCATCTGTCAACAAAAGAGAAGTAGGTATCAAAGGGTTCACCACAGGTGAAGGCTTCTGTGACCTTGGGTTGGATACATCACTATGCCAGAAATTTCAATAAGTTTTGCAGTAAATACCTTGTTTAATAAAGAATTGATAGCTGGTATTTTCTAAAACTTATTAAAGAAGTGGTAAGTACTACAGAATCTGCCAGATGCATGTTTTGCATCCATAAAGGAAAGCTATGATACAATCATCGTACATAAGTAAAAGATAAATTATTGAGACCAGTCTTCTGTGTTGTATATGTAACCTTTACATCTTCTAGAAAAGGAGCTTACCCAACCAACTCAATATTGCGGTACAGATGCAACATTTTTGAAAATTAAGGGGTAAAATATATTAACCTCATTTTAGAGGAAAATTGTACATCTTCACAGAAATTCTCTTTTGTAAGATAATGCATTCTGTCGTTTCTTTGTGACAGAAAGAGATGGGATCTAGTATTGTTTATAAACTGACATTTCTTTGTACTTCAGTTGGCATGATTAGAGAAAATTCGGTAATGTTATTGTGGTTAATGTTTCGTGTTTCAAAAACAACAACACACATCAACCGATTTCGTTCTCAATAGAAGTGCAGCACATTTAATCTTGTTGTGCAATATGAAATTTTCAAGTTTTCAGTAAAAACAGGATTTTTTTATGAGTTTTACTTTACCATGTAGAAAGAATTGATGCTTACACAAATATACTAATCATTTTCATTGTATCCTGTGTATACTTTAAATTAGCCTAATTTGTGTAAGGAAACAACATACGTCTGTTTTAAGGAAATATAAATTTACGAAACCGGTTCCTCTGATGAAACCGTATAAACCGAGGCCCGTGTTGCAGTAGGTGTTTGCACGAAAAAGATCCCTCACTGCTCAATGACCATGAGTGCCGAGTATAGTATAAATTTGCAGCCCTCCACCGGCAAGTGGTGGCGTTTCCATTTGAGTGAAAAATTCTCGAGAGGGACGTTAAACATCAAACAAACGAAACCTCAAATTTGGATCTCTAAGTACTAGTAACTCCTTGCTTTTGGTTTTTTTCTCCAATATCGAACTAAGTCAAAAGACACAATATACGCTGTCTTTTCTAAGCTGGACGTGGCTTAGAGCAAAGAAATCATAAATATTTATCATGATTAGTATTATCACGATATGTTTTAAGACGTATCCTAAGATTTGTGTAAATTTATGTGTTGCTGTACTTCTTCATTTTTCAGTAGCCAAACTGCTGCATTTTTTAAAATATCTGTTCAGAGTAGAAAGATTAATACATTTTTCATGTTGCATTTGAAATCAGGCCACATAATGAAATTTTAATAAAAATTTACACTGACGCTGTAAATGAATTCTGACAATTAACTAGGAAAGTCTACGCTAACTTGGAAGGAATAAATTATTTCAGGCCAACATAATGTAATTAGCATACGGACTAGAAGCTCGTAAAAGTCACCTCTGAGACACACAGGTTCGTTTAGTGTAGTTTATATAAGATATCGTCATTAATATAAGTATTAATTGAGTGAAATTTATTCGATGAAAAAATTGGTAAAAATGAAATGACATTTACTACTCATCATTGGGTATTCTTGGACTCCTGTCTTAATTAATAAAACTTTAAAACGTAAATTCTCTCCAATAGATGCACCATGTTTAACGTTGTTTTAAGATTTTTTTTCTCTCCCATTCTTTTATATTTGTTATTGGTAATTCAGAAATAAAGAGGAAAACAGATATAGTGTTAACCTTTTACTATGGTTGTATAATACATAGTATTTGTATAAACCTCAACAAACAATAGTTGTAAACTGACTAAAGTAGCATCTTGTGTGGAAATGTTTTAAGGCTTGAGCCGGTATCATTCATTTGATGCAAATCACAAATTATGTACATACATGTAACACTGTTCATTTTAGATCTACAAGCTTGTACATGTACAACTACTCAACATGGTCGTGGCGGGACACAGTTTTCATGTAGAAAGCGCCCGCACTCGACTAACACAGTGAAGCTCATTAGCATGACAGAACTGTCATTTGATATGACAGTAAAGTTATCTGATATTTGGGCATCAGATAGATTCATATTCCTCAGTCAAAGTTCACGTATTCTCGGGTTTTTTAGGTGATAGGTCACGGTAATAGATGACAGAACCTACTAGCTGACCCGTCTGAAGTCTTCCTCCCAGAGGAAGGAAACCCACGCGCTGGAATCCTCCAATCTTTTCAATGATTCGCTGCATTGCGTGATTGTTGGAGAAAGTGTCCACGTACATTCCCATGTAGCCAAGCTTTTTAGAGAACTGGATTGCCTTCCGCATACAGAACTCGCCGAGCTTTTGATTTCTCTCTGTGGGTTTCACGATGATGAAAGGGTCACAAACACCGCTCATACCTCGGTAAAACTTGCTTACAGCCAAAATCAGTCCAGCGAGAAGTTCTCCACTGTCTTTGCTGACGACAGCGAAACAGTCGCTGCCCTCGATTTCATGACGGAAGTCTTTCTCGGAGTCGAACTCGTCGATTCCGTATCCGTCTCCATGTTGGGCGGCCTCCTGAATCATGCAGTAGGTCTCCGAGAGCTGCTGGTCCGTCATGTAGTCGATTATGACATGACGTCCCGTAACCAAAGAATCAACCACCGGAAGTGAGTTCATCCAGTCCTGTTCGGTTTCATGGAATCTGAATTCGTGTTTCAGCAACATGCTTGCTGTCTGTTGAGAAAAAGGAGAACTATTAATTACTTAACTATGAAATACACTTTAAGCAAAGAGACTCATTCTAGAGACAAAGTTTCAATGAACACTAAGCAGCATTGCTTTATATATATATATATAGCGTAAAAAATCGGAAAAAAAGAGTTGCTTGCCCTACTGAATACTGACTTTTCCTAATCGATCAAAGAAAATATTACTGTATTCACTTGGCATAACGAACATTGTAACACTAACTGCAAAAAGCGCGCCAGCATGTGACTAAGACGTTAAGCCATAATTCAATAAACGTAGGTGTTAATCGAATAAACACTGCAATGATACAACACCAAAATAAAAATAACAATTAATTAATGTAATAATTACCTTGAGAATGCTAGGTACAGCAAATCAGCAAGATATAAAACACAGCGCAGGAATCCGTGACTGTCAAATATTGTCCTGATGAAAATATAACGTTGATGTCATTGTCGTCTGTTTTATACTCTGGCTGCCGCCATTGAGGGGAGGGGCGTCCCGATGATACGAGCTATAGGTTGGCTAAATGTTATTCAAAACAAAGTACAAGGTCTCTGGACCTTTTAAATTAGTCAGACTTAGAAGTTAATGACACCAATCATATTCTACTTCATTGGCCGACAGTAGGTGCTCTTCTAATGAATAAATTCATTTTATAATAAATATTTACATTGCTATTAGTGTTCTGTCGGATTTCTGCGCAAGAAGAATCTATTTGCGCCTGCATATTATTTGATTGCATCGTTTCTGATCATGCATTTGGTGAGTGCATATTTCCATAATACAATCTACCAATGAACACACAAAAATATACTCACATTACCTTTGTTGTAAGACTTCATGTAAACTTGAAGACTAATATATTTGTATTTTAGTTGGGTAATTTTAATAAACACGTAATTGTATTTCAAATAATTATGTTTGCGTAGATTATTTATCTATAACCCATACCTTGGGCAATGTCATATTTTTAAAGTATCTATAAATGATTATACAGAGTACATTCAGAACTTATTATGGTTTATCAACTAGGAAATTTTTATTGTTTTATTTTCTGTTTAAGGAGCGTGATACCGAGTAATTAAATCGGCTTTACAGATTAGCAATACATGTCATCATGAAATATTGATTTTCCTCGTGCTCTATAATGCTATTTTTGTCAGATGCAACTACTGAAGAGGGAAGTGAAGTAATCTCGAGAGATTTCCCAAAACATAGAGAAATCTCGCGAGATTTAGTCAATAATTGCGTTAAGAACAGAGATTTGCGGCTTTTATCGAAGTAAACAATTAAAACACAACACGTTACTATATCCTTGACTTACTAATGTGAACTTGACACACCTAAGAAGTAAACAGAGTAGATCTAGCTTTGAGTGATTGCTTTAAAGATAACAATGATAAATTATTCGCGCGAATCTTAAACTGATTATTGTTTCTTTTGATGAAATTTTGTATAGTAATGTGCTTTGATAGGTTAATTAATCCATTCATGTGTTTGATGGTGCAATAACAATTATATTAAAATATCCTATTTAGAGATAGAATATTCCTTGCAGATAAAAATGTCCAGCTTACCCCAAATAACTTTTTTTTTAAAAGCTAAAGTCTTTTAACTCTAAGTACGAGGTATAACACAAAATTATGTTTATGATCGCAAAAGAAATTAGTTACAGGTCCGTCGGAAGCAATTTCATTGGGGAGGGCACAATCAAATATTTTCAGTTTGGAAAGGGGGGGGGCAACACCAAGCAAAAGTTCCTTGGCAGACTCTCAAAAAAGGTCACCAGACGTATTTAATGAGGGAGCACATACATAAAGTAAGCTTTCTATAGTATAGAATACATCGGCAAAATTGTAAGGGAGATACTCGGCCACCCGGCCCGCCCCCGGTTCCTACGGCCATGAGTTACATTAAATTTTAAAATTCAGTGATTTTAAAACTAACTTTTACCACCTTACCACCCCAATACACTGCCTTCACCTGTTTCTGTCTCCGGCTGCTGCCCTTGTTGCATGACGCCCAGCTATTCCACCCCAACTGCAATCGTTCCTGCTCCACTTTGTTTTAGGCTAGCCTACTTTCTTCCTTCCTTCTGTGTGCCATGCAAGTGCGGTGGTACAAATCTCGGTGTTCTCCATCTTTAGTATGTCCAATCCAAGCCACTTCCTGAGTATTATTATTACACTTGCTCCTTTTGTTTTTATTCTATGATGGAGTTCTTTATTCGATATTTTATCTGGCCAACTTCCCCTCAGGACTTTTCTCAGGCATCTATTTTGGAAGATGTCGATTTTTTTGTCTCGTTCCGTTGTTTTCTATTTCTTACTTTCATACATGAGAACAGAAAGGGCCAAGCTGTTAAATAACTTTTGTTTGAATGGAAAATAATGACGAGCTCCAAATTTTTCTTAGCCAGAAGAATTGAGACTTAGCTTTCCCCAGTCTGTTGGTAATGTCCTCGTTATGTCCTCCTTTTGTTGTTATCACACCTCCAAGGAAAGTAAATGTTCCTTTAGGTCTTGTCCATCTTATGCTGGAGTTGGATCTCATTACTTTCGTTTTCTTGTGTTTATTCTGAGGCCAACTCGACTTGCATTTTGATGCAGTCTTTGTCTTTTGGGTGTCGTGAAATTTTGAAGAAAATAGATCACTTATTCGTCTGAAAAGTCTAGAGCTTCAAGTTTTGTGGTGAAGTTCTCCCTTATTCCAATTGGTTCTCTTTCTGTAGTTCTCTTCATTATGAAGTCTATAACCAACATAAGTACAAATCCAGACATTGTACAACCCTGCTTCACTCCAGTTGTTACCAGGATTCTTTACCGTAGTTGAGGACTGCACATTGGAATGACTCGTATAGAAGTTTCTCCATTCTGACCAGTTTGTCTGGGATGCCATAGGTCTTCATCATAGACCATATGCTGTCTCTATGAATGGAATCAAATGCTTCTTAAAATCAATGTATTTTACAAACAATTTCATTCGATGCATTGTTCTATGATGTTACGGATTGTTAATTCTAGTAGTTGACAGCTGCTTTTTCAATAAAAATGGAACTCGTAAATTCACTTACCTTGTTATTGGTCATTTGCAACATTATTTTGTTAAAAACATTCTGATTGTACACACAACTACTCTGAAGTTGACATTAAAAAGATGCTTGAGTTTCTGATTGACAATATCTAAGTAGTTTTTGGAGACCAGGTCTTCCAACAATCTGTCGGAATTCCCGTGAATACCAATTGCGCCCCGTTATCAGCAGATCTATTTTTGTACTCAAATGAAGCAGAATTTGTTCAAAATCTTAAACATAAGAAGACAAAAAAATTAGATTTATCGATGACGTATTATGAATTAACAATAGTTACGCCCATTCATATGTCGATCCATCCATACTCGATATATCCCAGTAAGCTTGAAAAAAAAAGATACCACGGAGTCTGACACATCTGTTTCATATTTGGGTATTTAACTAGAAAAAGATGTTAACGGTAACCTAACAACAAAGCTTTATAATAAACGTGGTGACATCAACTTTTCGATCGTCAACCTCCCTTACTTATGTAGCAATATACCCTTATCATCTGCATATGGGGTTTATGTCTCTCGGTTGATTCGATACGCTAAAGCATGCTCTACGTACGAACAATTTCTAAAGCGAAGCAGCTATTGACAAACAAATTGATGAAACAAGAATAACAACAGTCTCGTTTAAAGTCATCATTTTGCAAGTTCTATGGTCGATGCAATTGTCATATTGTAATTTTTGAATATTGTAATTTTTGTATATACTACCACCCGGTAAATTCAAAAATTACAATATGACACAATGACCTTGTCAGCAAGTACAATCTATCATTAAATCAAATGTTGACCGACATTTTTCATACTATTTGTTAGGCCATTATTTACACACTGAATTGTCTACGGATTTTTCCGTTTTTCCAGATCACGACAATGAGTACACAGCTGGTGTGACCGGTCGGCAGGGGATGCTCACTCCTGCATGATACCTGATCCAACCTCTGATGTTTTAGAGGTCCGTGTTTGCTCTGCTCCCGATTTGTATTGTTTTAATGGACTTTTGAGCTTGAATACTGTTTGTTATCTCCATATTTCATTGTTCTGTTGTGCTCCTTCCTCTCCTACAGCCAGCCTGTTCGTCAGGCAGCTGTTTTTCCACTAACATCTTATATTCAGTGTATCACTATCCTGGAAACAATTTGCTTGGCACAAAAAAATAAGTATTAAATTTGCTGAAATGTAGAAGTTTGACATAACATATCGTATAGCATTTTCATTTGTAATTGTTTAGAGTAGAATGAAAATAAATATCATATTTTTGGTCCAAAGAAATCTGTAATGATAAATCATAAGTATATAGTCTAAATGCTATCAGAGGTTTTAAAAAGCAAGAAAGAGAGTGATATACAAAGCACTTTCTTGAAACACAAAGACAAATTAGATGTTGTGCAAACTGTTTTAACAGTTACTCCATATTTGTACACATATTACTAATATTTATTAGGAAACCTTATACTGCTGGTATTAGTAAACGTAAGTTGCTATTGAAAATTATGGCTCGTCAGGGCTGTCTTTTATGAAGATTACTCAGTATACATTACACCCTGTGTTCTCATCATTATATGACCTGACCCTTTACAATCTGCTTGTAGTCTGTCGTTAAGTTTTCTGCAGATGTTCGTATGTAAAATTTTGAATATTTTCATTTCCTTTCCCAATTACAGGGACAATTCCAATCACACTCACCTAAAAGCAACGCTATTTGATGGACATACAAGTTCGTTAAAAAGGGCGGCTTTGTCCCTTTCAAAGGAGGGGGGTTAAAAAAAGAAAAATAGGATGAAGTTTATAAAATTCATGTCAAGTCATCAAAAAAATCTTCTCAAGAGCTTCTGAAGCAGAACTGACAAAGAAGATGGGCGAACAAGGCGAGCGCAATGTCTATAGTGCGACAAACATGAAGGTGAAAATTAAATCTCAATTATAACAAAATTTTCTTTGATATTTTATCTAGAATTAAAGTATTTGGAAGCGCCCCTTGTTCACCCATCTCCTTTATATTTAAGGTAATCATTACATGTAATGCTAGTAAAATTTCAAATTATGGCTGATATAATATTACCAGGATGGGGCCTCCTTAAAAGGCATATATATGTGGGGAAAGTTTTAGGGAAAATATTGTAAAAATTCTCCTTTCGAGAAAATAAGAATCCTGATAAAGTGTAGATTCAAAATCATCCCCCCGAACTGGGTTTAGATAATGCATGCCCGATACGTAGATGACCATGAAAGATTGAATATAGTAAGAAAATCACGTGTTTGTCTGCTTATTCATCTTTAATGTATCTTTTTCCTATTAAAACATTTCTTTTAGAAAAAAAAAGTAGAAACATTTGTGTGAAGAAGCAAAAATTAACAAAGGTAAAAATCTTTAACCCTGAACTCTCTTGCCGTGCTTTGCAAATAGATGTCTTTCCATTTGTTGATCAACCAACATAAAGCACCATTCATAAAG